CGCCCACTTGACGATGCATCTCGACAAATCTCTGCAAAAAGTGAAAGTTTGAATTTTGTGGAAGAAAGTTACAATTCAAGTCCAAGTCCACCAAGTATTTAATCAACTAACAAAAATGAAGCCGCCCACTTGACGATGCATCTCGACAAATCTCTTCAAAAAGTGCAAGTTTGAATTTTGTGGAAGAAAGTTACAATTCAAGTCCAAGTCCGCCAAGTATTTAATCAATTTTATTGTCAGAAAATGGAAGAATTCCTAAAACATTTTCGAGATTATGAATATAAGAAATGTATTTCTTGAGGAACAAGTCACTAACATTGCAAAAATATTGGAAGAACTCACCAAGTACCTCTAGAAAACAGATGAAGAAATAAATTACTTGATGAGTAAGTCTGAAGCTCCCAAATGAAATGAAGAAACTTTGCTCTACCCTCTATTCCAAATACTGTTTGCTCCTCAATTTCCAAAGAAAATAATATTAAGACTTCCGTAATCCCATATAAATAAAGACATTCAAGTGTTTATTAAAGAAATTACTAAGGATCCAATTGAAATTCTTGTCGAACCATCTTATGAATATGCTAAGCCATAAATGCAGATGATAAACATATCGAGAATGCCAACAAACTATCGTCAAAAAGAATATTTAGCATGCGCAAACGCGTAAATGCCCAATGTTTTGTCCGGAGCTGCTATTGATTTACCCGTCTCAAGCTTTACCTTATCCTGGCAGTCCAAATTGCCAGGATATGGAATCCTAATCCGAAAACATATCAAATGACGAAGCTGCTAACTCAAAACTAGGTCTGAATCTTTCTTTTCTATTTGCTTTGGAAAGGATTATGCAGTTTAATTAAAGTGTAATATCACACAACATAAATATATACCTCTGTTGCTGAAATTAAGCATTGGGGAACATTTGAGATATTCATTTTTACATGGTATCAGAATTATCATGAAAAATTCTAAATTTTTTAAATTACTTCCAGTTTAGCTTCTTCCTTGTCAGAATCTATCCATGCTAAACTCTTCTACTCGTCATAGTCTCTTAATAAAGCTTATACCCAGAAATTATGTTTGGTGAAAAATTCAGTTCCTACACATTCTTAATTATCAAAACCTTCATGGCTTTGTTGATAGCCACATTACCTCCACCAAAAATTATGTCTTCAATCACAAACCCACTCGAAATCGCCAATTCAGAATACATTGTTTGGTTTCGAAGAGACCAGATGCTACTAACATGAACTCTTTCTTCCTTGTAAGAATAATTATTGCAATATGTTGTTGGGATCAATAACTCCTCCAAGGCCTGCAAAGGCCTTGATAATGCATTTCAATCAGTCTCACAAACCATGCAACTTCAACTCCACATGACTCTTAAAATCTTCAGAAAAAATGATGAACTAATAGTAGAATTGTTTAGGAAGCTAAACTTATATCAGATTGTTTGGTCACAGTACGCAAACCTATTTCATTGCTGAATTTAATGCACTAATAGTTTCTAATATTGGCTCAGACTATCATTCGTCGATAAGTTCCTTAATCTTCGCCTTACTCCGATGTATTTTCATGAGTAATATGGTTAATATCTAGCCCATTAAATTCGATTAAAATCTCCATATGAACCTATGCTGGCAAACATCACTTAAAAACCCTTCTAAAGTACCAAGTCCAATTTAACTAAAAATTACCTTTCGGAATTTCATCTTCACTTCTTTCTTATTAATGATCAGGCTACATTTGTCGATCCTCCCCCATCGAAACACAAAAGATATTTGTTGCTACTTGTGTGTCCTTAGACTAGTGGCATACCCGATTTGGACATTCGACATCTTTCATGCTTATTACTTTTATCTTCTGTATTAAATAAGTTATTCAAACACTAATGATATTTGTTGCTATTCATGTGTTTTTGTACTAGTGGCATACCGGACTTAAACACTCGACATTTTTTATGTTTGTCTACTTTTATTTCTTTTATTTTCTATATTAAATAAGGTATTTAGTTAAAAACATTAACGTGATAGTGTCACGTTAATATTTTCAAATAAAAAATTTCGTTAAAAAATACCAGTGCGACAATCACGTGAATGGGTTCAAATAAATAATTTTTTCGTTCCGCCATTTTCTTATGTTGCCACGTGGAATATATATAAAAGGCACTACAAAATATCAAAAGTAAGTCTTATATAAATAATTTTCTAAAAGTATAGGATCAATATTTCAACACAAAAATATAAAATGGACCAATTTAAAAATTATTATTGAAGAACCAATTAATTACCTACTGAAGCCTCTACATATATCTAGATATATATGTATATACACATATATTTGATTCTGTCTTGATGGGGAACAAGCTCATCTGTCTAGTGCTGGCTGTTTAACCTCTTATCCAGGGCAAGAACATTCAACACAAACATTTTTAAGGTCCACATTTGGTGCTTCAATTGATGAAACTACAAATATTAAATAAAGAAAAATGAATTTCTAGAGAAACCCATTTGAATTTTGGAGCTGGGGACCTTTTAATTTCTTTACATGGCCTCAAGACATACTTCCATAGGATTTCCAAATCTGAAAGCAATTTGTGTATGCTGGAGATAAGATTGAAACTTGATTGGACTGAATTTTTCTTTAATTTATTTATTTCAAGAATGAAAATCTCTATTTTTGTAAAAGTTGAAATATATTTATATATTTTATTAATTTCTTTAAAAAAACTATCTACAAATATATTTAACAGAGAGAAAACTCCGAATAAATTGATAAGGATGTTTACCATAGTGTGTTAGAGAGAAAACCCATATTTAGGATTTTGTATTTAGCCACTCAAAATAAATTTTTGAAAAAATATGAGGTATTCATATCTCGAACAGATATGATACACATACACGATATTCTCATTTCATCATTGTCCCAGTACGAGTTTAATGAAATACCGTATTTTAATATGTTATGTAACACGGTATTTACCATAATGTAACAAAGAAAAAACTCTATTTAGATTTTTATATTCAGCCGCTCAAAATAAACCTTCAAAATAATGTGAGATATTCATATATCGGATAAATAAGGTACATGTACATCATATTCGTACCTCATCATTGTCCCGGTACGAGTTTAATAAAACGTTGTATTTTGATTTCTTTTGTAACACAGTATTTACCATTGTGTAACAAAGAGAAAATCTCTTTTGAGATTTTGTATTCATCCACTCAAAATAAACCATAAAAAAAATGTAAAGTATACGTATCTCGAACAAATATGGTACATATACATCATATTCACACCTCGTTATTATTTCAGTACGAGTTTAATAAAACGCCGTCTTTTGATCTCTTTTGTAGCACAATATTTATCATAGTACAATAAAGAGAAAACTTTATTTAGAATTTTACAGTCAGCTGCTCAAAATAAACTTTTAAAAAAATGTGAGTCATTTATATCTCGAACAAATAGTACACATATACACTATATTCGCATCTTATCATTGTTTCAATACGAGTTTAACAAAACGACTTGTTTTGATCTCTTTTTTGTAGCACAGTTAAAGAAATTTAGTTCATAATTTACGAAGTTTAATTCAATAATTATTTACGTTCCGTATAAATAGTTAATTTTAATTTTTATTTTATACAAAATTTTTATATATTATGTCATTAAAAAAAAATCTTCTGTCAGCACAGTGTCAGCAATTCAAACTTCAAACTATCAGGACTGCCTTTGGACACTTGTGTGCAAAGGACTCCAGAAAGTCTTCCATCCAACTTTGGCTTCCATATGAACTTGATTCCAATTTTGAGTTAATCTTCACTATATGTATATATCTTGTGGGGCTGGCAAATAATGAAACTATAAGAAAATTTCTCAAAATATATATTATTTAACACATATATTTAAAGCCTATATATTCAGTGATGACATTCCTAACCAGTCACAATAGTTTTTTTTTTTTTTTGAGGAATAAAATTATGTAATACTTTATAAACTAATATATACATATCTATCACACATGTAGTTAATTTATATCTTAAATGTGAGTAAAAATTTTTTATAATAAGTTTTCCAATCACCCTTTTGAAATTATTGAATTGTGAGTTTATATGTGAGTTTATCGTGTATAAAAGACTATCAAATTTAATTAGGTCTGTTTAAAGTGATCTGATACGGTTAAGAGCACTTCAGATCTTGTGTATCAAATTAAAGTGTCGATTTTATTTTACGTGCAAAGACAAAAAACGTAATTTCTAATTTTATTATTGATAAAATTAGAAATAACAAAAATTTAAGAATAAAATATGCGGTTATGGTCCTCAAATTACACGTCTGAATTTTTTTTTATTATGTTATTCCATCATCAGAAATGGAGAGTGTGAAGATTTTAAATGACTACATGTTGATTTGAAAAATATACTGCAAGACGTGCAGATTTCTTCCGTTGTGGATTCAGGCACGCTTTCGTTTTTAGATCTAATACCAACTATCCAATATAAGTATGTTGTAAATTCATATTTAGTCTATTTTAAAATCCCTACCGAAATTACTTACTACTCCTCTCTTTCTTCACGAGATAATTTCGCAAATTCAAGACAAACCCATGTAACAAAAAGTTTTTGGGTCTTTTCTTTTTTTGGTTCTTTTCTCAAATGTGAATGAAAGAATGAAAAAGATCAGGTTACAGGTGGCAGGCAACCGGCTGCTTCCAGTCAAGACCATAAAAGTGCTTATTTGGAAGCTAATAGAAGCCAACAAAAAGCTTATCTTTGGAGATCATCTGATTTTCCACTCAAACAATGACACATAACCAAACCCAATTGACCCACCATTGATTTTCAATTTCTTTCTTTAGCTTATTATTGTGATTGCATTTGAGACATCAAAGCTTAATTTCTTCTCAAGCAATTAATATAAAAAGTGGGTGGCGGCAGTAGATGTCAAAGTTTGATTAGGACTAGAGAATCATTTTAGGCCTAAACCATGCCTTTATAAATCACTTCTTTGCAGCTCATCCACAATCAAACCAACCCTTTTGCTCATCACTTGAGAGATTTCAAGTCAAAGTTAAACCATGGCTAATGCACGTCTAGCAAGGTTTGTCATGGAGGTTGCTCCTCCTCAGTTTGTGACTGTCATGAGGCACAAAACTGCAAAGCTCTTAGATACCATTAATGAAGAGGAAAGAGAATTTTCCGGAAATGATTCTGTCCCTTCTTCCAGAATTCCGCCATCTAATTGCGCTGCAGCTACAGCAGCTGCCACAGCCGGAGCTGCAGCCGGAGTCGCAGCTGTGAATTGCAAAAATCCTCTGAGAGAAGTTCAGAGATCATTGTCGATCTTTCGTAATTATGAGGCGTAGTTTTCGATTTATTAGAGGTGGAGTTATTGTTTCCTGAGTTTTCTTTTGGTTTTCTTTCTTAAGAGTCCACTGGTCTGGTTGGTTGAACATGGCCTGTTGAGACTTAAGGTAGGTGAGTCTGTATCAGGAAGTTGTGTTGAACTGTTCTTCCACGCTGTACAGAGTCAAAAAATTTCATAAACTATTACAATGTAAAATTGCTGGTTTCACTTTCTTATTATTGACCTAAATTAATGATTCATCGTATAACGGTTAATAATTTCATCAAGTTGGTTCCACTATTGCAAAATTCACATATGGCTATGGCTTTTCATGTAGCTTCCACTAAGAAACCAAGAAATCAAACCAGGAAACTACGAAAATCATAAAACTTTTTCAAGAATATCATGTAGTTTCCATGAGTAACCAAGAAATCAACCAGTGACCTACGAAAATTGTAAACGATTTTCCCAAGAACATGCACATCGATAACTTTTATCAAACATACTTCGGATTTATTGCAGTAACTTGAAGATTGCAATAGTGGAAATCAAAGTATAATCTCGTATTCCATTATGTTTATCAGAAAATGGCATTTACAAAAGCAAATTTTGTCTCCAGCATAAAATTTCTCCAGCTCTCAAGAAGCATCAAAATCTTTCTTTTAATCTCATAGTAACTTTCTGTCAATAAACTTTGAAAACAATTAATGTTTCTGGACACTCTTCCTCGCTTTCAACATGGCAAGGTCGTCACCTGCTGTACGTCAGTAACCACAGGGTCATTGGAATAATGTTATGCGTCCGCTTTGTTTGCACAAAAGCAGACAATGAATGATTCAAGCTTGCACGTTAATTGACAATTTGCAACTGCCACCGCTTGATTGGGAAAGTGTGTAGATTGAACATCTGGTATTAACGCACTCGCACAACGTAGTTGGGAAAACATTTCTTCAGTAGGCTTGATAGTCCCTATGTGCTCAGTTTTTGTTTCTCCTTGCCCTTTCCCATCTTTGAAGACTTGAAACCAAGTTTCCGCTTTCTGGATGCTTCTGATTCAACTGTTTCTTTCAGTTTTTCAAGCGCTGAAACATTAAAATGAAACCCATTACAAAATGTTTTCTGTGAGAAAGAAAATAAATTTTTATGTTGTTTATCTCTATCCTCAATTCAACCATCAATCCATCTAACAGGAATTAGAATAATGGTGCTGCAGCAAATTCATTATTTACAAGGCAAATCTCTACTAAAAAACCAACCCATTCAAAGGTTGCATGGAACCAAAGTTAAATAGATTGTAAACGAATGATACATCCAAAATGCAAGTAGTCCCTCCAGTAGCTTCTAAAAGGATCCCATTACATTAGAGACTGTTTTTAGCAAATGAGCCTAATCATTGAAGGCCCTTCAGGTTCTCCAACCCACTGTGTGATCAAAAGCTAAATGACCACTAATCTGATGAACTCAATCCACATACTATTCAGCAGCAACCAGAACTACAATGTAAAGGAGAATCCTCCTTCAAAGCATGCAGCAAAAAACTCAGATGTCAAGGATCAAGCTAAAAGCATTTGGTTTATCAAAACTAACATTCAGGCCTCAAGCCGAAATCTCCAAAAAGGCAAAGACCATGGGGATGAAGAGGATGTTATTTTGTTTACCCTGGTTACTAGCTAAATCATCCAGGAGAGCCATAGAAATTACCGGAGACATAAACACTGCGAAGGGACTCAATTGAACTGGCAGGAATGGAGTAAACTGGACAAGAATCATTTTCAGCTTTCTGTAAGATTTTCTTGAAACGTTTTACCTGAGACAAGCAAAAGTATACACATTAGAAATTGAGTATCATATACGAATATTGAGAAGTCGGCAGAACAGATTACACTAGTTCAACCATGACCTACAGCATTAATTGACATTGAAATATTTTGTATCGACACAATTAACAACGTTATGCTATAAAAGACACATTAAATCGGAGTGAATTTGGAGCCAGGTTGAGCTGTAAAAAGAGACAAACAGGACGTACTCAGCCTACTAGCCGGCATTGACAATTTACTTTCAGGCAGAGAGAGATCATGGCTTAGCATGAAAAATAGTTGGTTTTATCTATACCTGTTTTATGTAATATAACAATAGCTGGTTTCATCTATATCTGTTTTATTTAATACAAATCAAATAATGAGATAAAGTAATCGTGCAACCAGTTAGACAACTAAAACTTTCCTTGAGGTGTTAGACCTACCATAAGAGTCAAATATGAGTTAAGGAAATGAAAATTCCAATTGTCTTGCTTTGAACTTTCAATTTGGGAAATGCTACGTGTTGAGAATAGAGTCACTTAGAACTTTATCTTTCCCAGTAACCTTTACGAGTGGGAATTGAGGAGTCCTATCACATGTCGACGGCTGTTGTGGATGCAATACCTGAAACTTTATCCTCTGGCTATCGATTGGACGATGAGTCAGTCTATTAAAAAGTAGCTTTTTGCCTGGGGTGGTATTTGCAGACTAGACTACGAAGAGGTTATTGGCCCAATTTTTTCATGTCATCTTTGGACTATTGGCATG